ACAAATGTCCGCTGGAGCAGATTTTTCTAGAAAAAATCGAATAACTCGAGAACGGCCGAATAAAATTGCAAAAAGTAAAGGTATTTATAAAACCTTGAAACAGACAAATCCAAATATGTAAAAATATACAGGGTGTTCCATTTAAAAAAATAAAGTAGGTGGCGACTTCCGGTATAACCGGAAGTGCTAGAAATCTGAAAATATTTTAGATGAAGAGAACGTAATTGATAATATTTAAGTCTGCATTCTCAAATTTTTTGTTTGGCCAGAACCCCAGAAACGTCTAATGACCGGTCTGGCTGAGACACCCTGTATAAATATGAAGTCAATTTTAAAAAATACTTGCGCATAAATTCAATTTTATAGAAGTTTCTAAATGTTTGACATTAAAAAAACCTTTTAACAAATTCCTTTTTTTTGTATGATTTAAGCATAAATTAATTAATTTTCGTAAAGAAAACGACGCTTTATAAAACTGACATTTAATTTTGACAAATTGTTGTGAAGTTGATTACAGTTAGTAACATTGAATTTGTGTCACATTGACGTTTAACCTTTATTCAAAAATTTATTATAATAATTTAATAGTCATGAACAAAGTATAGTATTCTAGGAATAATTCAAGATTAGGAGTCTCTCTTAAAAATCGATGATTTTTTTTTTAATCGATAGGAAATGAGTCAAAAGAGGCGTAAATGATAAAAAAAAGTGCGGAAAAGTGTAGTACTTACCGAAAAATCACTTTAAAGTTGCGATTTGACGTTTCTTNAGCTATTATTCACTCAGGTTAATTATACCACTCGCTACGCTCGTGACATAAACTTAACCTTCGTGAATAATAGCCCTCATTATATGCTCATATAATAATATACTATATTGTAAGCGACTTTGTATCTTTACCGAAATAACGTTTCGCCTCAAATCGTCAATTTTGGAAAATTCTCGCCCGCAAGCGACTTCGGCGATTTGAGGATAAATGACTTCTTGTATCGCCGAGATTGCTTGCGGGCGATTCTTGTACGTTAAGTCGATGCGCTGGAAAATGTACAGTCGGGTTCACGGGAAAAATGCGCACTAAAAGGTCAAGCGCTGTTGTGAGATCCGACATGCCGCTGGCTAAACGGGCTGAGCCGAGCTCACACGAAGCTCATGGAGAAGCGACTTGTGGCGGTCCCGGGCAGGTAAGCGCCATGTCGGATCTCACAACAGCTTTTGACCTTCGGTACGCATTTCCCGTGAACACGACTGTACCTATTAATTAATGTTGACATTTCAGTGAATTTAAAAACTGTTTATTATTTCGTTTTATTTCTTTCTCATCACAACGTATTAATATCTTAAAAGAAATACTAAAGTTTATAAATAAATATAAAAGTTATCATGCATAACCTAAAAAATAAAAAATTAAAGAAACGTCAAGTGGTATTATATAATTAAATGTCAATTTGACGTATTATATTGGTGAGACAAAATAAGTAATAGTAATATATAAATGAAATGGCAAAATCATTTAAAGATATAAACCGCCACGAATGTACCATCAGAAAACGTTCCGAGTCGTGCCTCCCGAAACTATCTCCGAACGCTTCAAACTGGGAAAAATTAAAACGGCGATTTCGAAAAACCTTGATAGTATCTTCGCGCCACCCCAATTCCAAGCAACATTACCGCAGCAGCGCGGCGATTACCTTTGAAAGAAGACGCCAAATATCAACGGCCCCCGTCTATATAATCCACCCATTCAGCCAATTCACTTATTACCGAGAAATCGTATGGTGTTTAATATACATCGTAATCTTTACGGTGTGGCCGATTTTGATGGCACACGTTTTTTACGAGGATGAAACGCAGTTTCGGTGGCCAAGAGCATTCAGCCAGGCTATTAACGTAACGATTTTTATTAATATCATATTTAATTTAATCTCCGGGTACCATCACGCTCAAATTAAAGAGGCGGTTTTAGAGCCGAAACGAATCGCCGTTAATTATTTAAAGACTTATTTCGCCGCCGATTGTATATGTTTGTTCCCGTCGACGTTATTAGCGTGGAATGCCGTGGGAAAAGCGATCGGGGTAATCCCAACTCTCTTTCTTTATTTCCGAGTACCCACTATGTACAAATATTTGCGACATATCACGGTATTGATGCGTTTAAGCGACACCCAGCACGAAATTGTTTCTTTAATATCGTTATCGATATATATGTTGCATTGGTGCTCTTGTTTCTTAGCGAGCGTGGATTATATTTATGTTTTGTTGGGGGATACGAATGAATCGTGGTTTAGACACGCGAATCTCACCGGGAGCAACGTCACGGTGTTTGAGCGATACATGTGGTCGTTACAACTAAGCATAGCTCACTTTTATAGCATGGGGGGCGAGATTTTTCCCACCCATTCGAAATTTGATTACGTCACGTTATCATTAATCGCCATCTTAGGCTCAGCCTTTTTCGGATACGTAATCGTAATAATATTACAAGCGATTGGGACTGTAAACGCGGCCGAAAGCAAATACGAAGAGCTTTTGAGGCAACTTTACGAGTATTTGAGGTCGAAGCGAGTTCCCGTTAATATTAATAAGCGTTTAACGAGGTATTGCGAATATCGCTTTCAAAAGCGCTATTTTAGAACTGAGGCCATTTTAGCGACGCTCTCCGAGCACCTCCAAAACGAAATTAAATTGTACACCATGAGAAATCTGATCGGAAAGGTCGAAATTTTTAAGGGATTGCCCAAAGGATTGATTGGAAGCATCATCGCGAGCTTAAACACCGAGATTTATCTTAAAAACGACGTCGTTGTATCAGCACATAAACCGTTACATTATTGGTACATAATTTCACATGGAACGGTTGCTATGATACACACGAGTGGAATTGAGCTATGTCATTTAGAGGATGGAGAGGTGTTCGGAGGTGGGAGGCTCATGGATGTAACTGATTTTCCGGTGAACGTGGTGGCGCTTGAGATTTCGGAGATTTTTCGGATGACCAAGCAGGACTTTTTGAGCAATATGAAAAATAGGACGATTTACGAGAGATTGATGGATCAAGTTGACAAGAGGCAGGAAATTTTGATGCAAGCTCTGAGTAAGCAAGATCCAAAGTTGCAGGAGAAAACCGAAATTTTGTTCGAAGTTAAGAAGGGGAATATTTTGGAGAGCGGTTTGCCGCGGGCTAAATTCGGGCAGGATTTTTAATATTTTGTTTTAAAAATTGCAAAAAAATGATATAAATAGATGTTGTTACTGCTTTCATTCTAAATGAGTGTTGTTAATTATATTGAACTAAAAACTATCGGGTTTCCTTGAAACAAATACAAAAAAAAAACTAATACAAATTAAAAATAAAATCATTATTTCGATGTTAATGTATTAATTCGGAGCCGAGGCAGCTGTGCTGTTGAGACGTGTACTTGATAATAAAAGAAGCGACCAACGTCTTTTTTGATACAAATGTGTTAAAGGCGTAAAAGCCGAGGCAATGTAACAGTAAACAAAAGGATTTAACCCTTTCGACCCCGATTTTTTTTGTAAATGAGTAAAAAATTTAAAATTTGGCATAACAGTTACTTAGTTACTTTGTAATATACGTATCTAATTGTGAAAATAAATTATATACATACATATCTGACACCTATTAAAATTAACATTACTGACCTGAAAATTAGATGAGAAGGGCTTTTGCTCTGAAAAGAACAGTTAATAGATAAACGAAATAGAACGATAATAGAAAATAAACTCGATAAACTCACAAAACCGTAATCTAACTCAAGCAACGCTGTCAAAGAAATGAAATGTCAGAAATATATCAAATACATATAATCTGTTTTTTATTTAAATCAATTGTCAAAGTGTCGTCAAGTTGGTATTGAAAGTAAAAGCGCATGTCGTGACTTTTACTTTAATTGTGTGCCACCACTGTCTATCAAATTTGTTAAGATTGATTAAAAAACAATTTTCATATAATTTTTTTGCTGCTAAATCTACCATAAAAATGTTAAGAAAGGGTGGAACGGGATGTCAACTGTCTAAACGCGAAAAAAACTCTATAATTAGGTATTATGAAGAAGTACAGACGGAGACACCAAATACGAATTTAAAATAGATATGCGATAAAGCTTCACGTATTTTTGATGTATGTGTATTGCACTTGAGTTTTAAAATTAAATTTATATTCAACATAATTGTATTAGTTGATTAAATTATTCATTAGCAAGCTTTGTTTAAGTCAATTTAAATAAAACAAAATTTTCCTCTTTCTTGCTATTTATTTTATTATGCTTCTAAATCGATTTCGAGGAAACAATCCTCATCTTCAGTAGAATTGTCAGTTTAGTTGAAAAAATATATTAATCATCAAATTTAACACATCCTCCAAAGTTAACTTCATCTTTTTTATCCAAACTTGAAAATTTCTTATTTTAATAATTGAACAAATATAATAGAATATCAAATTCAAAACCAAAAGTTAAAA